TCTCACTGCTGTGTAGTTGTTTCTTGCTTCTTTGTATGGTTGGAATGTTTGAGGGTTTGGCCTCTTCCTATATCGATTCCATTTTTGTGCCTTTTAGTCTCTGCCCCTCTTGCAATTTCAGTAGAACCAATCCTGTTTCCTATTTTTGCATCTTTGTTTTGGTCTAAATTTTGATGTGCCTTTATCATATATTTCACAAAACTTGACATACATCTCATTCACTTCCTTCCCCAACAAGAAGTCTTCCCAGTCAAACTCATTAAAGAACTATTAAAGTTCCTCATAGTGTCCTCTCCTGAAATCAGGTTTATCAGTTGCTTCATTTTCCTCATTCTCTTCTAGATTATAATGTATTACATACTTTACTTCCAAAAGGACATGGTCTTTTACACAAGAGGGAAACATGATGAATGTCAAATATCTCCTCTTCTTTCCTAGCAAGTGTCAAATCCATCATTGAAGGAACGTCCCCTTCCCTCATTCTCATAGCTAACAGTGGCCTCCTTACCAGAGCCTCAGATATTAACACCAAGTAAAGCATCCAGCACTTCCACAAACATATCATTTTTATTTGCCAACATTCAGGGTATAAAAACATGCAAATGTAACAAAGTGCACTTCATATATGGTTTTTTACATGAGGCAAATGCAGTGTTTGCAGCCCTAACGGACACTCACACCAAGGACTACCATGATGGTGAAATATGGATTTTGGAGTACAATCTTTTCAAATGTGATAGGAAACACAGGCTACAGGGAGGGGTCAGCCTGTACATCAAGGACACACTCATCTGTACTGAGCTGCTAAACACCACAAATGATATGGTGGAAGTGCTAATAATCAAAATACAGTAGAGATCTTAAATGTAGTTATTGTCCTTGTATATAAGTCACCGGAGGCAAATCATCAGCAGTTTAAAGACCAACTAATGAAAATAGAACACTGCTTGGAAAACCTCACAAATCCAGCCCCGAACATCATCCTGCTTAGGGACTTCAACCTACGGCACCTGAAATGGAAGACCATTGCTGATACGGTTGTATCAGAGAGAATTCCAGGAAGTAGCCTAAATGAACAGGCACATGCAAATGACCTGCTTCGGATGTGCAACAGGTTTGCCTTAAACCAGCAAATAGTAGAACCAACTAGGAAGGAGAACACGCTGGACCTCATTTTCACTAATAATGATGAATTGATCAGGAGCATAATGATTACAAATACCTGTTACTCAGATCACAATTTAATTGAAGTTCTGACTAGCATGGGGAATAAACCTTCAAAACCAGTCCAGATTCCCGATGGAGATTTCAGCAAATTCAACTTCAACAATAAACAGATAAACTGGGAACAAATAAACCAAGACTTCACAGAAATAAATTGGGAAGAACAGCTAGAAAATGCAAACCTGAACCAGTGCCTGGAAAAAATAAGCTCAGTAGCACATGAAGTATGTTCAAACCGCATACCCCCAAGAAAAAAAGAGGAAGAGATGCAGATTGGAACGGCAACGTCGTTCCCTCTATAGGCGAAGAAAACGAATCGTGGAACAACTTGAGTCATACCCTATCTCAAGAACGGCGAAGAAGGTTAGGTAGAGAAATAGAAGCAATTGAACTCAAGCTACAAGAATGATACAAAACCCAGGAGAGGCAGAGAGAGCAAAAGGCCATCAGTGAAATAGAGAAATCCAAAATATTTCTTCTCCTATGCAAAATCAAGATAAAAAAACACATCTAGTATTGGGCCACTGCAAAAGGGAGATGGAACTTTCACTGATGACAACAAAGAAATGAGGAATCAAATACTGAGGAATCAGTACGACTGTTTTCAGTGAGCCACTGAACACACTGAAGATTGATAACCCAAATGAATTTTTCATGGACATGATACGAACATCAAATCATATATCAGATGTTACCCTATCCCCAATGGGTTTTGAAGAAGCCATAGACAGTATGCCTATGCACTCTGCACCAGGCCCTGACTCTTGGAACTCTATATTCATCAAGAACTGTAAAAAAAACGCTATCGCAGGCCCTTCACATTCTTTGGAGACAAAGCCTAGATACTGGTGTTATCCCTGACATTAAAAACAACAGAGATAGCACCACTCCATAAAGGAGGAAATAAGGCAGAGGCAAAAAATTACAGACCGATAGCACTAACATCGCACATCATAAAAATCTTCGAGAATGCGCTAAGAAGTAAGATCATAAAATACATGGAATCACAGCATCTCCATAACCCTGGACAACATGGTTTCAGAACAGGGCGCTCTTGCCTATCACAGTTGCTGGACCACTATGACATGGCACTAGATGCCATGGAAGACAAACAAAATGCCGATGTAATTTACACAGATTTCACAAAAGCCTTTGACAAATGTGACCATGGTGTTATTGCATATAAAATGCATTCAAAAGGAATTACCGGAAAAGTAGGCAGATGGATCTACAATTTCCTGACTAATAGAACCCAATGTGTAATAGTCAACAAAATAAAATCCGGACCATCAACCGTAAAGAGCTCAGTCCCCCAGGGTACTGTGCTTGCTCCAGTACTTTTTCTCATCCTCATATCGGACATAGACAAGAACACAACCTATAGTACTGTATCAGCCTTTGCAGATGACACTAGGATTTTTTATGAGAGTTGACAACATAGAGGACACGGCAAACCTCCAATCAGATGTAAATCAGGTCTTTCTATGGGCTACAGAAAATAACATGGTGTTTAACGAAGACAAGTTTCAGCTCATGCGCTACGGAAAAAAATGAAAATATAAAAACGGAAACCACGTACAAAACTCGGTCAAATCATAACACTGAACGGAAAGACAATGCAAAGGATTTGGGTGTACTGATGTCGGAAGACCTTACCTTTAAAGAACACAATAAAGTAGCCGTCACAACTGCAAGAAAAATGGCAGGTTGGATAACAAGAACCTTTCACACTAAAGATGCTATACCGATGATGATACTTTTTAAGACGCTAGTGCTCTCTAGAGTGGAATACTGCTGCACAATGACAGCCCCTTTCAAAACTGGAGAAATTGCTGACCTGGAGAGCATGTAGAGATCCTTTACTGGTAGAATCCCCTCAGTAAAACATCTAAACTATTGGGACTGACTAAAGAGCCTAAACCTGCATTCTCTTGAGCGCAGGCGGGAGAGATACATAATAATTTACACATGGAAAATAGTAGAGGGGCTGGTCCCCAAACCTGCACACAGAAATAACAGCACATGAGACCAGAAGGCATGGCAGGATGTGCAGAATACCCCGTTGAAGAACACAGGTGCAACAGGTACTCTGAGTGAGAACTATCAACATCAGAGGCCCGAGACTGTTCAACACGCTTCCACTAAACATAAGGGGCATAACTGGCCAACCCCTCACAGTGTTCAAGAGAGAACTGGATAAACATCTCCAAAGGATACCTGATCAACCAGGCTGTGACTCGTATGTCAGGCTGAGAGCAGCCACGTCCAACAGCCTGGTTGACCAGTCCAGCAACGAGGAGGCCTGGTCGACGACCGGGCCACAGGGTCGTTGAGCCCCAGAATCACCTCAAGGTAACCTCAAGGTAAGGTAGCTTGTTTCATAACATGTTGATACATGAATATCTCCTGGATGAGGTTTATGAATTTACCAGTCTAACAGTCCTTCATTTTTGCTTTGCAGGCCTCCCAGTCTATGGATTTCAAGCTGAAGTCACTGAATACCAAGTCATGATCTATCTTTATCCGCTCTTACTATAATCTCTCTCATGATCGTTACGAGGCCTTTTCTTTTGTCGTTCAGCTCCTCCTCTGTCCATGTGTTGCATGCCCTTGGACTGTAGGCATTTATAATTATCAGTTTATCATCCTTTTGATTGATTGTTGCCGCCGAAGGCGGCTAGTTTATTGTGCACCCCATACTCATCCTGTGAGCGGTAGCGCAAAAGCATTACAGAGGGCACAAAAGGTCTTTATCAGACCTCATCTTAGATTATTACATAAACAATTTCTTCAATCCTTCACATCTTATAGATACAATGTCAGCTAGTTACAGAGAAAGTGCTATTACAAGAGCTACATATTTACAGTAAGTCATCATACATTAATGGTAGGTCTTATCGCTAATACATAATAGTTTGGCCAATGGGGATATTACAGAGTCATAGGGGAGCTTCTGATTATTATTAGTCCTCACAATACACTACTTTTTTCTGAATCTCATATGTCGTTCATCTACTGGAAGCAAAATGTGGGTACAGTGCAAGGATTTCAGGTAATTTATCCTTGGTAATAAGATAGGTTGCTATATCATACAGAGTGAGCTTAGATTTATCTCTAAAAGGCTCAATTTTACTACAATCCAAGATCCTGATAACAAATTTCCAATGCCATAAAGAGCTCATACTAGTTTTGGGAGATTTACTTACATTTGTTTACATTATTTGAGGAGTTCACTTGGCAGTTTCAAGGCTTAATTTCTTTTGAACCCAGAAGCGATCTGTAGTGGTTCACTGGCCTTATTGATGCTTTCCCAGTCTCTGCACCTCTCTCTGTATGGGGGAGGGGGGCAGGTCCTGGTCCTGGGAAGGCCAAACACAACTCCACAGCTGATGTAACCTAGTAGTTGGGAGCCATCTTTGCAAAATAGCTTCAGGGAACTACAAGGGACTTCCACAGAAATTCTACCATGTTAAAATTGCATTAATTTCTGGCATTAAAAACAGTCAAGTTTTAAATTTTGTTGAATTTGGATTTTGTGAATTCACACAAATAATTTTATCAATAAAATTATAAAAGTTAGACAGGGGGATTCATTTATACAAAAGTTGGCTTTCCTATATAGTATTCTTAAAGTACAGTATTTACAACAAAATGACTTGCAAAATAATTTTAACACTAATTGACTGCCCTGTCAAGTACAGCAGTATCATTTGAGGTTACCAAGATAAATTAATTTTACTAAGCTAACATATTGTATACTAGTAGACTTTACATACTTTCATTAGAATAACTTTGTTGACATGAGTGCGTGCTGCTTGTGTACCAGCTACAAAGTAACAAGTAACAGGAGTGTCGCAAGTGCGATTGTCTCCAAGACCATCCCGCACAATGTCGAAGCTCAGACATGGGGCACCTGAATGGAAAAAGGATTTTTTTTTAATTCTTAATTTAAATTAGAATACACAAAACTAAAGCAGATCATAACAAAGATGCACATACCTATGGAATGTGATTTATACCAGTTTAATGATGAAAGGTGTTAATTTGCAAATGTTATTAATAAAACCAAATGTAGCAAACAATGTAAGATACAACAATGCAAACAAGATATAATATTGAAAAATGCTGCTTGTTATCTGTGTGAAAAGAAAAAACTGTGGCAAAACAGTAATTGACCAATCTTTCAATGTAGCAGTAGTACAAAATACCATCACTGAATGTATTGAAATGCCTCTTTCTGACAGCCCTGCTGGCTACCTAAAGCTGAAGGCTCCTTGAAGTTAACTTGCTGAGATGGCTCCCTACTACTACATCACATCAGTCACAGGAAACTTGACTAGCTGACCAGAGACCAGAGCTCTCTCCCCCCCCCCCCCACTTTTCCTTAACCCTCAAACTGCGCATATCATATATATATGATATCAGTGACAAAACCGAAACCGCGCATATCATTTATATATGATTTCGTGTCTAGCGCTATAATTTAAACGCCCCGCGTGGGATAGGGGTAGTCATCGGCAAGCCTCAACCGACCATAAACAAACCCCGCCTGGGAAAAAAATCCAGCTGGGTCCCCTTTGTGTACAATCCTCAGTTACCCGGCGGACACCATGGCGAGCGCATCAAGTTCCAACGACCGATCCCGCTCAGCGAGGCGTTCCTCGCGACCTCTAACCGAGGACGAAATTACTCGTAATTCCGTTCCCGGATGGTGATGAGTCTGATATAGATGACTCAGACTTTGATCATGACTACACACAGCCCTCAGAGGTGGATACAACCGACGAGTGTGAATATGCTGGCTCCACCAGGGCTAGGCCTAGCATCTCGCCCATGCCTCCAGGCCCTCACTCAACCCCAATTTGTGCAAGACCACACAGTTCATGTGCTCCCTTGCAAGATATTGATGTTTTGCTCGACGATTCTGAAGAAGGTGAGTCATTTTCCGGTTTTAGTGACTTAGAATCGGAAAATAGTTTCGCTAGTGCCAGTGGAGGAGTGTGTGGTGTTGCCAAGCGACAATTTGTCGCGTCAGCAGCATCTGGCCAAGCCATTCAGCACCGCATGGCACCACATGAACAAAGACCCTCAACATCGAGGAATTTTCCATCACCGTCCCTGCCCGCCCCCTACTGTTCCTAGACCTGCTTCAGCTCCAGGTCCACGGTTTCCTCGCCGTGGAGCCGCTATTGGCTCTCTAAAGACACCTGGTGTTTGTGTGTGGAGTGATGGGACAGATTTTGTTCAACAAATTCCTGTTTTTGATAATTCGGATGTTGGAATTACAGACATTTTCCCTGATAAAGGTGCAGATATGTGTGAAATGGACTATTTTATTGCATATTTTGATGAGCCGCTAATGGAACATCTTGTTCATGAGACGAACAAATATGCAAGTGATCTCATTGATGAGGAGGAGTTATCCGATTATTCACGTTTGCAGCGATGGAAAGATACGACTGTAGGTGAAATGTATGTGTTTTTGGCACTGTGTATGTTGATGAAACATTGTGTCAAACACGTAATCGACCATTATTGGAGCAAACACCATACTGTTCCAACACCGATGTTCGGCAAATATATGTCTCGAGACCGATTTGCGATAATCCTCAGGTGTCTTCACTTTGCAAATGATGAGGAGCAGAATGATGATGATAGGCTTTGGAAGGTAAAGCACCTTTGTGAATGAACTTATCGGAAAGTACAGGGATTTCTACGTACCAGCTCAGAAGCTGGTGAGTGACGAATCCCTTGTGCTTTTCAAAGGACGTCTTGCCTTCAAGCAGTATATTCCCTCCAAACGCCACCGATTTGGATTGAAATTCTTTGTACTCTGTGACTGTGAAACAGGAATTGTGTTACATATGATAATGTATACGGGTACAAATGTAGACATTCCTGCTAATGACCAACATGGCTTCTCAGGTAGTGTAGTGAAGTCACTGCTTGCACCATATCTGAACAAGGGCCACATATAATACACATAACTATTATACCAGTCCCTTGCTAACTAGGTTCTTGCTTGATTGGAACTGGAGTGTGTGGTACAGTGAAGGCAAAACGAAGGGAAATGCCAGTGTTTCCAGGTGCTATGCAGGTTGGTGATTGCAAGCTCAGAAAAACAGGTGGAATTCTTTCAGTGCGGTGGAAAGACAGGCGTGAAGTGAACATGTTGACCACCTTTCACACTGGAACAATGCTGGACAGTGGCAAGGTGAACAGAACCACCAGAGAACCAATCTATAAGCCAGATTGTGTCTTGGACTATAACATCGACATGCGTTTGGTGGATAAAAGTGATATGATGGTGGGGGCAGTGGAGTGTGTACGGAAAACAGTGAAGTGGACCAAGAAAATATTTTTCCATCTTGTTGACATAACAATGCTGAACAGTTACAATATGAATCTTGTCAAAACAGGTGGTAAACGCAATTTCCGTGCATTCAATTTTACTGTAGCAACACAATTACTACAAAAGTTTGGCAAAGTAATTCCTGGTGTACAGAGGCCCATTCTGAACCTGGTATTGCACCACGCTTCAACACCCAGGCTCGCTTACAGGGATGCCTTTTTGACACACAATCTCAAGTTTTTACCACCAACTGGAAAGCGTGCAGTAGGCCAGCGTGCGTGTGTAGTATGCTAGTCAACAACCAAGAGGGAACAGAAAAGAAAAATGGTGATGACTTGGTGCACAGCGTGTCAGGTCCCTCTGTGCCATGTCCAATGTTTCAATGAGTATCACAGTCTTGATGACTTCTAAATGTCCAAGACTGGTGCCAAAACATGTAAATACAGAATAAGTGAGTGTATATAGTGGAAATAAATCATAAGAAATTGTATATTTTATTGTGAAATAAGACATTTTTGTGCAAATACTTGCGACACTAATATGTGGATACAATATACATTGACAACAGTTTTATGTTTATAAATCATCTTGTGAGAACATATTGAACCACACCAGTGAAAAAATGGGTGTAAAATACGCCATAGAAACTGTAAATAATAATGCAAAAATAAATTCACGGCAACTCGCGCTCCTCCTCCGTCACGCCTGACTCACCCCGAGCGCACAGCGGTCAAGCGAAGATCAGGCGTGACGTCATCGACGATCTTCTCGGCTCATTTACGTCAACGGTAAGTGTAATTAAATTTTTTTATTATTTTTCCCGTGCTCAGGGAACACAAATAAAGAGATTAACCCCTTAACTGCGTTGCCTCCAAATGTGACACCCCCGCAGTGCGCAGGAAATAAATTCTCTGGAAAAAATTCTTTTTTTCTTTTTAAAGTGTCAAAAACCCTTCCCTCAGTATGGGTATGTAAAAAAAAAGTTGAAATTGTACTTACTTTGGCTGCTATGGGGTCCGGAAGTTGGGGCGTGACGTCATCATTCCCCATGCGCCCGTGCCGTAAGCTCTCGGGGGCGGTGGGCGCTCGGGGCGGGGCGCGCGAGTTGCCGCGAATATATTTTCGTTCATTTTTTGCGCACCTTTCCAAATACATTTTCATTGTTTTTATGTGCCAATCCAATGTATAATGAACACGTACACTATAATATCGCAGTACAACATCCGTACTGTCCGTAAACACTGTTACGTGCATGAAACTTGTGTACACATATGCAGCACATATTTACTATGTATCATGCTAATTTGTGTATATATACAATCTATTTACACACTATACACTGTCACACACTATATACATTCACCATCAACACATTCAGAACACCGCGTAGCAGCTGCTTCGTATGGGCCAATAGCAGCTGCCTCGTATGGGCCAATAGCAGCTGCCCCGTATGGGCCAATAGCAGCTGCCTCGTATGGGCCAATATCAGCTGCCTCGTATGGGCCAATAGCAGCTGCCCCGTATGGGCCAATAGCAGCTGCCCCGTATGGGCCAATAGCAGCTGCCCCGTATGGGCCAATAGCAGCTGCCCCGTATGGGCCAATAGCAGCTGCCCCGTATGGGCCAATAGCAGCTGCCCCGTATGGGCCAATAGCAGCTGCCCCGTATGGGCCAATAGCAGCTGCCGCGTATGGGCCAATAGCAACTGCCGCGTATGGGCCAATAGCAGCTGCCGCGTATGGGCCAATAGCAGCTGCCTCGTATGGGCCAATAGCAGCTGCCTCGTATGGGCCAACAGCTGCTGCCTCGTATGAGCCAATAGCAGCTGCCTCGTATGGGCCAATAGCAGCTGCCTCGTATGGGCCAACAGCAGCTGCCTCGTATGGGCCAACAGCAGCTGCCTCGTATGGGCCAACAGCTGCTGCCTCGTATGGGCCAACAGCAGCTGCCTCGTATGGGCCAACAGCAGCTGCCTAGTATGGGCCAACAGCAGCTGCCTAGTATGGGCCAATAGCAGCTGCCTCGTATGGGCCAATAGGAGCATTTGGCCATGAACACATTCAGAACACCTCGAGTGAGAGCAGCCACACCCAGCCTGTCTCCCTCAGTCCAACATCTTACTCGCCAACATTGCTCCTCCCACCATATTGTTATAGTTCTTATTACACATGTTCTATATACCTATCTACATGTTTTATTTACCAGAACTATGCAAGTAAGCCGGGATTGTGTCCAAACAGTACAGTGGCCACCATACACTGCATGAAAAATCACACAGCAGACGACGCTACGATTACGTCACCTCCCTCACCAAAATAGCTCCTCTCAACATTCTCCTGTTGCTGTTCTTACACTATATACACACACTATATATACCCATGTACATATGTGTTGCCCATAGCGAACCACTAAGCTAGTATGATGAGCAAAACAAGAGTGGCAGCCACACACACAATGAGGCTACCTCAATTCTCGCCCTCCCTCCCTCATCAAAATTCCTCCTTCCACAATACTACGCACAACGCTAATTATAACCACATTCCTGCTATTATCACAATCCT